GTCCTGGTGAAGCCTGAAGGAGGCCCAGAGAAGATACCCCCCAATCTGATTCTGCCCTCCATGAGCCCAGCTAGTAGGAATGGTATCCACATGGTCCCATGGCTAGTGGCCCAGCACACATCAGCCACAACTGAAGTCACTTCAGCAGTGACCAGTGGGGACCTGCAGCCACCCCTCCATCCAGCCCCAGGGCACCCTCAGCACAGAATCTGTCACTCACCATAGTGAAATGGGTCAGGTTCCTGAGGAACTGTAGGAAGGAAGGCAGAGAAAGAGAGAGAGGGAAAAAATATTTCAACACTGGTTTCTTAACATTTATGAGGATCCAGATGAGGTCACTGGCTCAATGGCTGCTGTGTAGAAATCAGATAAAGAGACGGCTTGCTCTGGGTGATACGGCTTCATGGCAGGACACAAGGCTCGAAGAGTGAAGCACAGGATGGATTCCAGCCCCACTTAATCTTTGGGTTGGTACCTTCCCTTGTATAGTGCACGACCTTCCCAACCATACATGGCAGTCCTGGTCCTTGCCCCTGTGGAGGTCTCTTGCAAATTATGCACTCATTTCCAGAAGGCACATACATAATCCATTTGCATACGGTGCTGGGGGTGCAGAGACTCCAGTCTCGCTGATGGGCTGCTGAGCGTGTGAGCTTCCCCTGAACACTCCCGAGGACCTATCAGTCATCCGAGAGCTCCAAAAAGCAGGCACTGCGCCTCCTGCCCTCATCCACTTGCTTCTGCCACCAAATCCAGCAAGGGGAGCTATCCTATAATATTCCCTATATTATGCTATATCTAACGTATTTTATATCACTTATTTCTAAGGCAGTACAGATTTTAAGATTCATAATTGATTTTGTAATAGCTTTCCCTGGGTATGTGTGTATGTGTGTGTTACGCATGAATATGTATGTTACTGTACCACGTGAAGCATACTCATCCATTAGAAGACTCACCCTGATTTCATAAATGTTAATGTGTGGTTAAAATATGCATGTTTGTGGATTTACTTTTCCCAATCTTCAACCTCCCTGTCCCAAACCACATTCCCCTTCAGGAGAGCTCAGAACATCCGTCCCATCCAAGAACCCATCCTGATGGCTCCCAAATTCCTCTGACAGCTCTTCGCACAGTCTGCCTCGTCTAGAGCAGAATTCTAGGGCACCACTAGGGGAGGGGGGGCCAGCGATGCCAGGTGTTGTCATTAGTGTTCTTCTCTTCAGGCTCAGGGAGAGATTGCTGTCTTGAGGTGGGGGGAAGGGAGCATGTGACTAATTCTGGCCAATGAACTGAACAGAAATGTCATCGTCACTTCCAGGCTGGAGCATTTAAGAGCCCATACAAGAGCTCCTTTTTGACTTTGGCCTGGTGACATGAATGTTCAAGATGGTAACTGCTCCAGTTTTAATTGGTGAATGGAGATCCCCCAGCTGACCTGTGAGTGACCTTCAGTATAACAGAGAAATAAACCTTGGCTGTCAGAAGCCCCTGAGATGTTTGGTTCTATTTGTTACCCCTAAACGGACTGATACAGGTGGCACCTAGGCAAGGCGCTGAATAGCACTGACTCACACAATGTGCAAGTTCACTCTCTCCATTCTCCGCTCAGTCTTCAAAGAGGAAGTCTTAGGTTCATGCTGATGTATCTTTAACACCTTCCAGCCCTCGTTAACCTCCCCCTCTTCTTAAGAGAACACAGGCCTTGGGCTCAGAGCCTTCAACAGGCAACAATATCTAGGTAGAGTTTTGTGACATTATTTGGTTTTCTCCTTTATTTGCTATCTAACCAGCACTTTATAGCACTGACTCCATGCCAGGCTCTCTTCTAAGCATTTTACAGATATCAACACATTTAATTTTCATAGCAGCTCTCTGATATAGGTGCTATCTCCATCCTCATGCCACAGAAGAGGGACACGAAGGCCCAGGAAAGTGAAGTCACTTGTTTAAGATCATTTTTATACTTGCCTTCAATTTAAGACAAAATAATAATAATCCTGATTTTCCATTTGTGGTGGTGATATAACAAAGCAAATTATGTTTTTTAAAGGTTAATCCCTTGAAGGAAAAAATATTAAATAAATAGCACTATAGGGAAGATTTGGATAGGGCAAAAAGCATGAAGGTGGCACTTAAACTCATCAAGATGGGAAAACATTATTTGTCATCTCTGCTCTGTCTTAGTTCCCTCACAAGATGGGAGTACATTTGTTTGACTCATCTCTGCTGTTAATCCTGGAATTTATAAAAATTGAAGAAGTTTTTAAGGAAGGAAGGGGGAAAAAAGAGAGAAAGGGAGAGAGAGAAAGGAAGGAAGGAAGGAAGAGAAAGAGAGTGCCTTTTGAGCTGCAGGAGACCAGAGGTAGAGAAGTTGGATCATCCTGCTTTCGTCGCCTGTTTCCACATACCCTCCCTACCCAAACCATCGGGAGCCCACTGGGTGAGCTCCTGCCCCAGAATCCTCTTTGGTTCCTTCCTGGCAGCTCTGGTTCCATGCAGAAGTTCTTCTGGTCCCTGCTACCCCAGCAATCTGGGTCCTCAGGGCGAGGCTGGGCTAAGGGTGGAGTCAGGAAGCAGAAGAAGGAATGTGCACCACTCTGGTCAGTTGCCAGAGATGTGAGGAAGGAGGTGGTTGCTATGGCAACTGGGGCATCTTGAGAGGGGAAGAGAGGTGATGGGCTTAGGCACCCCAGCCTGGGTGGGTTCTGTGCGAGGCTTAGGGGTTGGGTTTCTAACTCCACGGCCAATCTTGACTTCCTCTGCTCTCTTCCTCCCTCCCTTTGTTGACCCCACAGGGCTGGCTTCTGGCCAAGCTGAGGGTCCTTTTTAGGAATAGGGGACCCAGGCCCAGTGGGTCTCCTGCATTTCCTGTGTGCCCCCCAACTCTCCCTCCTGCTCTGTGACAGGTTGGGAAGAGACTTCACCCTTCTCTAC